TGTGATGTTTGCACTTGACGAAACCCATCTATATAAGTTCAGATAGTGAACTTTAAACTATTTCAGGTACACTCCGTTGCGGAATTTGTTCCAATGGCTTTAGAGGCGACAGTAATGCGTACAATGTGTATGTTTGGTAAGTTGTATTCAGCTAATCATAGCATGGTTGTGGTAATGGTTCTGAATTTAGTTACGTGTTTGAGCTGTGTTGTTGCCCAGTCGCTCACCGAATCTACACCCCTGACCGGTTACGATTTGAAGATCATGTTGTATTCTATGCCCAAGAGCTACACTGAGTTGTGTCCGGTCGAGAAGTACGTCCTGTACCAGTGCAGTCGTAGGTACATTGAGCGTCACACTGCTGAAACGCGACGGCATTCGATTCAGATATTGGAAATGAACTACATGTAAGAGTTTATCAACCTATCTGGATAATTACACAGTTTATGACTTATATGCTCACTCGCCCATTTTTTTCGATACCGTTAGTTTCATGTTTTATATTTGCTTGTCACGTACAGTTGAGAGCCACAGTAAAATTGCCTGTTGCATCACAAGCCAATTAAATTGTTAATCATGAATGGCGATTTGCTATTATGAGAAATTGAAAATATAGACCTTCCTTTTGTGTTGTCAGGAGGCTATTTGAGAAAGGTTCATCATGAGATTATATATCTCAGTAATATGAAGGTTACTCTGCCGCTTGGCTGTGTCGGGTTGAAATCCCATGCATCGCGTAAAAATTCTGCTGCTAAGTCATTATTCCCATTAACAACTAGCTGCTCTGTTGCGTTTCGGTGCAGCCATCTAAGAGACTTGTACCGAGTTAATAGGGATAGCCAACCAGATTAACTTAAGGCGTTCCACGGGGCATACAACAAGTTGGAGAAGCCTGGATAAAGTATCAGATAAGCAGATTACTAAAGCTCCAAATCAAGGTCTGAAAAGTGTATCCAGATCAAACTGACTGAAACCTTATTTGAAATTACTTAATTGTTTTATCTTCGGCTTTGTGCGTTGGTGTTGCAACTAATCTACCGCCACCATCTACTAACCAACTGAAACAACAGTCATCACAAAGTATACATCATTTTTTCATTTTATAGCACAGCATACATACTTCATTACTTTTCTCATTCCATGACTCAGTATGCTGTTTAGAATGAATGCTTTCTTGATATAGTTCAACTTTATCAAAATGAGCTGTGAGATATCCAGTGAATCTTGAATGACAACCATGGCGTTTCATTGATAATTCATTTATATTTGTAAAACTGTCATTATCACAGGGAATCGCAAATCACAAAAATGTCACCTAGCGACTGCCAGGTTTACACCACTTGCACTATAGCGGGATTCATCGTTCGCGACGAATTGCGTCTACAAATGAATTCTTTAATCGAATACCGCCGTTTGTCGCTCGGTATAGCATTGACCTCATAACTAAGAGCTTTTTTGTCACTCGTCTTTTTTCCTTTTGAGCTACCACTGAGTGCCACTCAGTGGAGTTGAATCAGTAAACTATACACCATTCTAGTCAAATCCTTGCTGTATGCTTTGCCCTTTGAATATCAGCTGGTTGACGACATGCGAATTTAGATCGGTACCCCACCATTAGCTTTGCAAAGATTGCTCCACAGCGGTCGTATCGTGAAAGTGTAAGGTCGACCATATTCACCAGCGACTTCGCTTTTCACGTCCTTTTTCAGGTCATAATTCTAATCCGTTCGCAGCTGGGCCGCTGTGGTATTGATCATTCAGAATAAAATCCATTGCTTCAATTTGGTAATATCCAGAGCAGGGTTTCTCCTAGCTGCGATGTAACGTCTTTAGACAAAATCGAGAGTTGGAGCTTAGTTGCTTAGTTTTATAAGTTTCACTCATCCAACGGCTTCACGTTTCTTAAGTGGATCAACTGTCGAATTTTCAAAGAGAACTATGGTGCATCCCTTTTTGCTGATAATAGCATTTGTCTGGTTAAACGAATAACGTTGTCACCGTTAGAATGTCTTCTTTCATTTTCATAGTTGGGCCATATTGTCACCCTTATTTTCATGATCTTGTACTCGTTTATCAACATCTGAAGATAGAAGAGTGAGAATTTCTGGGCGAGACTTGAGCGCATGACGGGTTTTCTGACTCCGTCTCTCTACCGAGTGATCGTCCGCGGCGTGAGGCAACGAATGGTTAGTTCCTTGCTCAAAAGAATTCGTAAACTCGACAAAGATTCTCTCTGACGGAATCTAACCTTGCACTTTCGGCGTTTGTAACAGACTTCTTAGACACCATGCCACCACCTTATTTACGTGCCTGGAATCGTACCCGCCTGTCACAATAACCCAATGAACTGAAGGAAAGAATATTTTATTTGATTTTACAAGTCATGTTCAATCTGAACCGGAACACAAAGGCCACATATGGATTCTTTATTCGATATCTGCTCGTTGTGGACACGCCACCACTCCAGTCTTACCGTCCGTCCACGTCTCTTAAACATTTCTTTCTCGGTGAATGTTTACACGCCAGTTTATTGGGATTGACAAGATTGATCGCCTGTTGTTACGGGCCATGCAATCACTCCATTGTATGGTAGCAGGTGCTGCGTCAGAGTAAAAGGCGATAAGACGAAGCCTTTGAACGTTGGCACTGGTCTCTGCCAAACCTACGTCCCGTAACTTCTGTTTGTGTTGTACATGGAGAGAATAGTCAGGAGCAGCCAAGGCTATGGACCTATCGGTGTGGGAGTTGATGTTTCCACACGACTTTGTTTTATTGGTATCTTCTGAAACCGATCTAAAGTGCTGCCTAGAGAGGTTCGCAGCGGAGTACGACGTGACCGACTTGCGTGGGAACGCATCCAAAAATAAAGACCTAATGCTTTTTCTTTCTCGTACCGGCTGCTCTCTTGATTTTAACGGATTTGCTCTCGGATTTTAACGTATCTCAGCATATGGAAATGTTCAAGTACCTCGGGTTCTTATTTACCAGTGATGAAAAATTTAAGGGAAAATTCGAGGCCCTTTTTTAGTAGGCAGTGGCATTAGCACAAGTTTGTCCGAATCGTTGTGATTAGTGTAGTGCTGAGTCTGTAGACTAAGCTCTCGGTGTTCAAGTCGATCTTCATCCCGATGCTCACCTACCTTACCTCATGAGTCGTGGAACATGGCTGAGATCCTTCGAACCCGGGTAAAAGCTGCTGAGATGGGCTTTCTTGGACGAGCCGCGTCTCGAATTTCTCCGGAATACATACATCCGGAAGAACGTTGGTGTAAACCCTGCTTCTCCAGATTGATAGGTCACAGCTACTATGCTTAGGGCACGTGTTGGTATGCCTCCAGAAAGGAAGGCGAAGCAACTGTGTTTTGTCGAACCTACCGGAAGAAGGCCCACGGGACGGCCAAAATTAACCTGGTGCAAATGTGCGAATGAGGTCTATTCCAGATTCCAGTTGTTTTCCGACGAAGCGCAGACTCTGGCACAGGATTAGGAAGGTTGGAAGCTCTGTCTGATGCGTCTGCTTTTGCTATGCGAAAGGAGAAGCTGCCATGGAAGATGGGAATTAAGAATTAATTACTAATAGTCACGTAATTTAATTGAATATTTGTCAGTTCTTTTACGGCGTTTGGTATTTGTTCTTTAGACCCGATGATCATGAGGCGTCAGTCTTGTTTCGAATTTCCTACATTAAGAAAAATGCGGCTTCTACTGCCTTCCAAAGCATGACGCAATGTCAATATTTGCCTGAAGCACATCCGGTGATTGATTGGAGTTTAGCTAGTACCATTAAATAATTTTTTTAGTTGCGTATTTTATTTTATATTTTTCAGAAACGTGGACTAGCAGAGGTTTTTACTTACGGTCGTCTACAACAATAACACTTTATCACTGGCTTGTGGATTCGAAAGTGTGCAAGACATATAGCATTAGTCTTACGCCATCACCGGGAACGAAAACATATTTGAAATTTCCCCTCTTCAAAATTGTCTGTAGCTATAACAGCCATTACCTAAGTGTTCATCACTCAGGAACGACGTACAGATTGTGCTACCCGCGACAAGGCGAATTAACTTTGACCTCTAACATGACCCTCGTTTTCAATTCAACAGTCGTGGTGATCTCTGACATCTACGAAATATTTGACAAGATTCCTGTCACTGCTACTACCGGTAAGATCTTACACTGCGTTTACAGGTTATTGCTTAATGTTGCGATCGTGTGTTTGTTTACAGCGTTATCAGCATACTTAAATAGAAGCCAAACAATGTACAGAAAAAAACTTTATTCGCACGTACTGCTGTTAATGCTGCAACTATTCTAGCGTTTCTTCACAGTGTACAGTATGAGCGAAGATTATTCAATTAAGACATGCCATGCATACGTAAAAACATACGTTCACACATACATAGA